AGACCTTGGGAGATAGTGGGAATGGCTCAAGAATGTTGGGTTTGTGCTAGCTGAGATGGGATTAGATTGAATTCCCAGTTGCTGGCTTTGGCCTGGCCTGGCCATTGTAGCCATTTAGGGAGTAAGTTGGCAGGTAAGACTTTCTGCAGTAGTAACCTCCTTTCTATTTCCAGATACCAAAACATGGAATGAGAGGTTATAAAACTGAGGGGCTTATAGTAGGTTAGAACACAGGAAACTCAGATTTCCAAAGAATTTTTTTTAAGTTAGGATCTCTTCTAATGTGTTGCTGCAAAAAAGTGGCTTTTTCTCTGAAAAGAGAAAGGCTAAAACTAGTTTTATCTCAAAACAGATGTCTACCTTAGTAGTTTTATTTATTTATTTTTAAATCGAGTGCGAGCACATGCTCCTACCCACTGGTTCACTACCCTGATGCCCACAATGACCAAGGCTGGGCTGGGCTGGGCCAGGAACCAGGAATCAGTGCCGATTTCTCAGGGACTCGGCCACTTTTCCATCACCACTGCATCCTGGAAGCTAGAGTCAGGAGCTGGAATATCAGACGCAGGCACACAGTGCAGAATGTGGGTGTCTGCCTGCCCTCAGGTGAGTATTTGAGTGGCGCCTGCACTGGATCCTGCTTTGTGGACTAGTCCTGGACGCCTCCAACACTGCCCTTATTTTCCAGATAGACATCAGGGCCTCCATCACAGACTAAGAGAAGTTGCTTTCCTGCTGCTTGGGTATTATTAGTGACTTTTCCAGGGAAGCGTAAGCTTACCAGGTCTTCATGGACTGAACTGATAAAGGACGTGTCTTGCTTATTTGTGACACGGGGAGACTCCATAGCTTTTCCTTGTTTGTTTGCATTTTCTTGTGTTCAGGATTACCCCTATTGGCTACTGCAGGTAAGGCATTTCCTCCTTCGGATTGTGCTGTCTGGTGACTTGTGTGGGGATGCAGTCAGCTTCTGTAAAATACTGCCTCAGGAGCCTACTTGTGATCTGCAGCCATAATGAAGTGACTCTCTTAGCAGCTCTTCTGGGTGTCTGGAAACATTTACCAGAAATTCCAAGTTGAAGTTGGGTTCTTGCCTCTGCCTGTTCCTGCTGGGTCTGCAGCCATTTAGAGGTGAGTGGGAATGGGCATAGCTGGGGTGAGGTAAAAGGCCACGACAGTTGGTAGTACATTTGATCTATAATTCATCACAATCATAGGAGGCTTTTAGGGCCTAGCAGAGAGAAATGTACTTGAGCTGAGGCAGAGCGTAAAAAATGAACATTTGGCTGCTGCTGTCACAGCCTATTAAGTGCGTCCAGATGATGGGAGTCCCCTGGGAGCAGAGCAGCACTCGATACCTGCTGAGCAGAGCATTAGTGGAATGGCCATGCAAAAGCACTCGTTGCGTGCTGCCCCAGTGTTCACAGGAAGGGCTGAGAAGTCAGCTCTGCCTAGCTTCTTCTATGAGCTGTTTGAAATCACATAGCAGAGACCAGCATCTGGACTTCTCAGATCCCTGTGGATCTCCTCAGCATAGATGATGAGACTGGGTCCCCTCTCTCCTGCAGCTGCTGTTTTACTTTGAATTGCATTCTTTCAGGGAGAATATGGGGATATCTTGGGGTCTGTTATCCAGCAGATGCAAGCAGCGTGCTTGGATGACACGGAGGACTCTGGTGACACACAGAGCTTCCCGTGGGGCAACTCACTGCCCAGCGTGTCCCCTGTGGTGTGTTCCTGGGAAATGGTGGGGTCTGTGGGAGCCAGGTGGTGGCAGAGGCCTTTCCTGCCCACGTGTGGGGCAATGTGTATCCGTGGGCCATGATTTAGAAATCAAGGGACGACTTCCAGCAGAAATAATGTGGCCTGTCACTGTTTAGGTGATTGGCCAATAATACCACTGTGAAACTGGTGAAAACTCTGACTTCTGGTAGCCATTCTCTGCAGCCCCCAACTTCCCGGGATATTTAGTGCAGACGCCTCTGATTATTGTTATTATTTAATTTGAACCCTCTTTTTGCTGTATGTAGACTTCTTGCTCAGAAGACAGGTTTGGGTTGAAGTTGAGCACCTGGCCTGATCAAGTTCTAATTAGGTATTAATGAGGATGGTGTAAGAATTGCGCTTAATATTTCTCCATGGACAGGTAGAACCAAGGGACCTACTTTTTCTCTACCCTCAGGAGTGAGACTATATATGTAAGAATGGAAGGCTACACGGTTTTGTTTCTGCTCACCTGGGAAATTGTGGTTCATATGTGTGAGCCCCTCAGCCCCACCTCCCCAGCTGCAGTAAGGCAGGGACCAGTGCAGTGTAAATAGCTGAGGTGGAAGCAAGAGCATTTAGGGATGTCTCAGGACAGCTGCAGCTAGGGGGTCAGTGAGAGGAAGTGGTCTCCTGGTGTACTGGTATATCTGGGACAGAGCTAGACAGCAGAGCCAGTGCCACTGCAGGTTCTGTAGCGGTGGCAGATAAAAGTTTGTGGCAGTTGAAGAACTGTTGGAGCAGGAGGGAGCTTAATCAAATTGCCGACTGGTAGTCAGTAGCCCAGTGTTAGTGGAGCTGTTTGAAGAGTTGTGTTTCAGTACACCTCATATTGTTCAGCCTTCTAAGAATGTTGCAAAATATCACAAGACAACATGTTAGGATGCTGTCTTATGGTGATGCCTAGAACTGGGTGAGGGAGTCCTTGCATGAAACATGGAATGCCTTTGTTCTAAACACTCAGAAACGAATAGTTGATTCCTATGTCTGCATGCCACAGGCACTGAGAATTCTTGTGTACTGAATGGACAATTTAGCTGTGCCTCTGTCATCTTAAGAATGTTTCTTAGGGCCTGGTATAGTGGCCTAGTGGCTAAAGTCCTTGCCTTGTGTGTACCTGGATCCCGTGTGGGTGCCCGTTTATATCCTGGCTGCTCCACTTCCCACCAACTCCCTGCTTGTGGCCTGGAAAAGCAGTTGAGTACGGCCCAAAGCATTGGAACCATGCAGCTGCATTGGAGACCCCGAAGAAACTCCTGGCTCCTGGCTTCAGATCAGCTCAGCTCTGCCAGTTGTGGCCACTTGGGGAGTACACCAGCAGATGGAAGGTCTTTTTCTCTGTAAATCTGACTTTCCAAAAAATATATATAAATAAGGTTTTGTGGGTTTTTTTAAATAATTTTTTTAGGCTTCATTACACAGTACCAGTGCCATGTTGGGGGCTTGGAGGGATGGTGCAGTAGTAATTTTGAGTTAGTCCATGGAAGCAGGGCTGGTATCACACAAGCACTGGGTCCAGGGACTGAAGCCTGGATAAATGGAGGCACCACTGGGTTTTGCTCTGTTTGATTATCTGAAAGGTAGAAAATGACAGATCTTCATCCACCTGTTCATGCCAGGATTGCCTGCAACAGCTTGGGGCTAGTTAGGCTAAAACCAGGAGCACAGAAGTCAACCCAGATCTTCTGTGTGGGTGTCAGGGACCCAAGCACTGTAGGCCATCTTCCCACTGTCTCCCCAATGTTGTGCATTTTCAGGGATCTGGGTGGAAAGCAGAGGCAGGACTCAAACCCATACACTCCAAGGTGAGCTGTGCCAACTGACCCAGGAAGTAAACTTTGACTCTAAGGATTTGGTAAACTAACTGTAAAGATTTTAAGGTTGTATACCCAGATTTCTTTAACTGTAATTACATTGCAGTGGTGGAATGCAGTTTCTTAATTACATTGGTTCTGTCTTTGCAAGAAGTTCATTTTGTCATGACCTGAGGTGATGGACGGCTTAGTTGCCATCTTTCTGGAGCCCACAAATTGGGATACGTTGTACGGAACAGATTGGCCTTTTTGTATATCAAAGTCCTGGTTCTAAAAGAAGTGCTGTACACATTCAGCAGGTAAGTATCATACTGTAACAAAGTTCACGTTCACCTGGCCTGTTAGTGGGAAGCACATACTAGGTTGGTGTCACCCAAGGCGTCTCTTGCATGTCACGGATGCCCCTGAGTTTGGGAATGACTAGAGGAACAAGGTTCCAAACTGGGATCAAATGAATAATTCACACTTATGGAATTGAAGTTTGTTCCTAGATAATTGCACTAAAGTATACCAGAAAAAGCCAAAAAATCACAATGGTTAACAGGAAATTGTTCTGAAATATGCACTAAAGGGGAAATGAAAGCATTTCCAAGTCAGTTGCACCTCATAAATTTGGCCAAATACAAGTCCAGCTTATAATGGGGAAAAAGAAAATCATGGATGTGACTACTGAGCCAGAGGCCAGCAGGGATGGGAATGTGGCCAGGGTGTGTTGGTGGAAATGGTCACTCACAGAGCCCCGCTTGGCGTGGTGTTGCGGCCCACAGCTAGATTCCTTGAGCAGCTACGTGTTTCCTCCAGGTAGGCATCATTCCTAGGGCATTACAAGACCATGACTGTGACCAGCTTGGCAGGGGAGGGGGCAGTCTCCTTTGAAAATGGGATGCAAGATCCCAGCCACAGAGCACGTGACTCCTGTCAGTGCCCAGCAAGACCGTGAGCTCCAAGTGGCCGTGGCCATGACTTGGCATTGGGCAGTCTGCTCAGGCTCCTCTGCGGAGGGAGGACAGGTTGGGGGAGTGCATGTAGATGTTGCTATCTTGGCATTTATCACAGGAAACGTTTCTTTTCCATCAGCAGAATGCTCCAAGTGCCACTTTACTAGAATTAAGATTTTGAGCTACAACCTGTAGGCAGTGCTGGATGTGGCAGCGAGCTCTGTACAGAGGCTTAGCAGAAGGGTATGCAACTCTACCCGAAACTCCTGTGGCGTCTGAGCTACTGACCAAGTAAGTGCCTGCCGTCATAGAGAGAGGGGTCTGTCACCCTTTGTTACTGTGGCTCCGTGCATTAGCCCAGGAGTGAATGCTTAGCTCTGCCAAAGCTTGAAATGGAAGGAAGTCAGCCAGTCCCCAGTGTGCATTGTGGGACGCCCTTGACTGACCTTGCAGAAAAGAATTTGCCACGCAATGGTATGACAACTGGAATAAGCACTTTATTTCTTTTAAAAATGACAATAAAAAAGTACCTTTTACCAGTTTATAAAAGCACAATAGACCATGAAGTGGCTGTTTTCCTTAGGAATAATACAGGACTCACCAAGATCTCAGTGGGTCCTGGGACACCTGAGCGGGCCTGTCAGAGCCCCCAGGGGCTGCCTGTCCTTCCCCCGCATGCAGGGGAAGAAAGGTTTCCTCGCTTCTGGCCTGGTTTCGTTTGTTTTTGGCAAAGACCTTTAAAAGCTTCTTAACATCCTTTACTTCTAATGAAAGAAAATGAAACAACCCCACACGAACTCTATAATCATTAAAGCATTGAAGTTTTCAACAAAACGTGAGCATATCGGTAAGGAGGCTTGTGATCATGTTTAACTATGTCAGCAGTCGAACATTCTTAGAGCATTACAGCTGCACACGTGGCTTTGGTTGACGGGGGATGGTCATGTTCTCATGGGACATGGCAGCACAGCAGAGGAGGCACTCCTGCTCCAAGGAGATCCCAAAGCAAGCTCAGCAAGTGCTCATACCACAGCCCCCGACAGCTTGGTCTCTACTTGCTGGGCACAGGGCATCTCTGGGCAGCAGGACCCATTGAGGATGGGTGCTGATGGGCCCATCAGGTACCAAGACTTAGGACCCCGGCTCAGACTGACCATTGGAGATTCGTGCTGCCTACAGGGCTGCTCTCCCAAACCACAATGTCCTCCCAAACGAGACAGGACTTAGGGAGGTGAGTTATACAGGTGGGTCATAAGCAAAACAAAATGCAAAAGCTGGCACATGGCGCACAGTTTGGGTGATGCACCTGAGGCTGCCAGGGCTTTCTGAACCCACGCTGTGGTCAGGAGTTCTCTCCATTGCCCAGCTGTGAGTGCACTGCTCGGCACAGGCCCTGGCCGCTCCCGATTGTCTTGCATGGACATCCTAGCTAGAGGGCTGGGATTAGAGGGAGGGACTTCACGCAGCAGAAGCAGTTCCTAACACCTAACATAGCGTCACTAAGCTACCCTGGACTCCTGCCAGGCAACAGGGTCCTAAACACATCCACAACACAACGCTGGACATTTTGATAATATTTAGAAGCATGCCTCAAACATGCAGCTTATTTTAGAGGAAAAAAAATAGATATTCTTAATTACAAGCATTCAGAAAGTCAAGCACAAAAACTGTGATCCAACCAGTGTGAGATCATCCATCTGGTCATACGTAAAAGGTTTGGTATAAAAATACTCACTTTCTTGGTATTACTGTTGACTTCTTTTACGTTGCGTTTGAAAATATCTCAACTGTATGGACATGAATGTCAGACCATGCATTCACAAATAACAACACACTATTTCTTAGAGTTATACAGTGTAAAAGAGTAAAACATTTTTATTATATTTTTTTTCTTCGAGAAAAACAGATGTGTGATAGAGGCTGTGGCAAAGTCTTGACGGGCTCAGTACTGGGCAAGGTCTCTTGAAGCCTGAAAGAAAGAAACTCTGTGAGGAGAGTGGATCTCAGGGCGGCTCTCCTGGCTGCGTCGCTGTGGGTAAGAGGAAACCCAGGGGACTTGAGAAAGGAAAAGTTTATTTTGGTGCAAAAGATTGTGAAACCCATGCATAGGAGGGGTCTGCAGAAGGTTAATGGGAAAAGCATGAGGTTTCATGGGGGTTTTTTGCACCAAAATAAAGTTACATTTTGTTTTCCAAAAACTTAAAAAAAAAGATTTATTTTTATTGGAAAGGCAGGTTTTAGAGAGAAGGGGAAACAGAGGAAGATCTTCATCTGTTGATTCACTTCCCAAGTGGCCTCAATGGCCAGAGCTACGTCAATCTGAAGCCAGGAGCTTCTTCTGGGTCTCCCACGCGGATGCAGGATCCCAAGGCTTTGGGCCGTCCTCGACTGCTTTCCCAGGCCACAAACAGGGAGCTGGATGGGAAGCAGGGCTGGCCAGGAATAGAACCAGGGCCCATATGGGATCCTGGCACATGCAAGGCAAGGACTTTAGCCACTAGGCTACAGAGCCAGGCCCAATCCCACAAAGTTTTAAAATCACCATTCCCTAATATTGTAAGGAAAGGTTTCTAATTATTTTTTTTTTTTCCTGCCACAACAGAAGACTCTGCGGGTATCATTGAAGTCCTTCAGGTCCTGCCAAGGGAACTGAGCTGAGATTTCCTTAGAACACATCTCAGCTCAGTTCATTGCCTCGGTTTGTTGAATTGCAGTAAAGGATGTACTATAAAACATCTAGTACTGTCACTCCACGGTTTTTTCCACAGCTCCTAAACCCCTTGTTTTCCTGACATCCTGCCCAGATTTCAGACTCAACCTTGAGTCATCCTGACTCAACCTTACACGTAGTTGCAGCAAAGGTAAGTAAGCATATAGAACTCTGTATAGCTTCTTCCCTGTGCAAATAAACATTTCCCTATAAAGACTGTAATAACCCATGTGATTCTGCAAAGTTAAACTCACCTAGGGGAATGTGTGTTTAGCAGTGAATCTCCAAATCTGAGTCCTTCTTTCAGGCAAATCCTCAAATACAGCTAACTGGCTGCTGTTACAAACTGCCCTGCAGTCCCGTGCTGGCTGCCTATGGGTCTGAACTGTGTGATTCGTGCATGATAGTATAAACACATGGAAACAGTCACAGCCTGAAAGTTGTAGGCCCCAATGTGAGGATCGTCTCTGCAGGATGGAGCAGCTCGGCAGCTAGCCTGAGGTGTTAATAAAGCTTGTCTTGGCACACCAGTCTGATGGTGCCCACCACAGAGAGTGGCCAGACAGTGTTCCCACTCGGGTTGCCTGAGGCCTGACGCCAGGCACCATCTCTGTGACCAGCTGTTCCCTGCACTTGTTCGGGGTCCTTGGCAGGGAACCTGGATCTGCTGCTTCCTTTGCCTCCCAGGGGCACCCATCACACAGTGGAGGCCGCCAGGCTCAGTCCACAGGGTCTCTTGGCAGTGCCCAACCTGCTCCACCCGATCTGCCCCTAGGTGTGAGCAGCCAACACCTCCTGACCCAGGCTGCTCCAGGCAGTAACGGCCACTATACCTCTTGCACACGCGTCTAATGGGTCCCAAGTCCCCACTGCCTAATGCAGCCTTCTAGCCTCTCAAAAGCCGGGGTGCACTCAGGAGTGCATGAGTACACTGGAGCCGACTGCAGGTGCTTCCCTGGCTCTCGCTGTCCTTGTCATCTCCAAAACCAACTACCTTCTTCAGCCCCAGAAGTCATCCCTTGCACACAGAGCAGCAGTCCAGATGTCTGGGTTGCAGGTCAAATGAAATGGGCGGGGGGAGAACCTGCAGATGGAAGTGGTCAGTGCTGTGACCTGAGAGCCAGGAAGCTGCCTGGGTGCATTTGGGTGGCCGCCAGCCTGAAGGCATCTTGAGCACACCCAGTTCCGCCTATCAGGGCAGGAAGTAGCCCAGCCTGACAGGCCAGACTTTGCTCCCTTCTCCCGGGCCTAGGGTGGGAAGGGTCTCCCTAGTTGGGCTGATCAGAAAGGCTGCTGCTTTTTCTAAGTAAAAACCAAAACCTGAGAGGGTGAGGGAGAGGGGGGAGCCTGCAGTCCCTGGAGCTCTGCGTAAGTACCATGTAAACGCAGTTCTCACATGGGAAAAGAATGTATTCCAAGAGCCATAACCGTTCCCAGCCTGAACAAAAGGTCAGAGTGTGGCTATTTCAGTCCCTGTAAACAAGGAAAAGCGTTAGCTGGAAATGGGGTTCAAACCCTGGAATGCATTCACAGGGACATTTTAAAGAGCATCCAAAGGCAGCCGGGAACACAGAGCACCACGGTGGCCCAGGGAGGCCTTCCCCACATGGGGCCAGCTGGGAAGGTGGGGACCAGACCTTGCTTTGGGTCACACTGGCCTACTTCCAAGTCATGGAAGATGTCCCTGAGGCTTCATGGTATGCTGTGGAAGTCTGCAGTACTTGACCTCATGTGGGCACCCAGGTGCTTACTGGTGACGTGGCTGCTTTGCTCCTCAAGCAAGGCAGATTGTCCAGGTGACCCAAAAGAATGTGCCTCCTCTGTCCCAGCCCATCGCTTAAGCTCATTACCAAAGTTGTCTTCCTCAAGGCCCTCCTTGACATTCATTCCCTTTCACCAAGAGGTGAAAGTAGCCTAGCGGCTAAAGTCCTTACCTTGTAAACAGTGGGATCCCATATGGGCGTGGGTTCTAATCCCATCCACTTCTCATCTAGCTCCCCGCTTGTGGCCTGGGAAAGCAGTGGAAGACAGCCCAAAGCCTTGGGACCCTGTACCTGTGTGGGAGACTTGGAAGAGGCTCTGGTCTCCTGGCTTCAGATCAGCACAGCTCTGGCTGTTGGGGCCATGTGGGGAGTGAATCAAGGGACAGAAGATCTTCCTCTCTATATGTCTGACTTTCCAATAAAAATATTTAAAACAAGAAGGAGCAGTCGCCTCCATCCAAATGCAGATAATCACGGTGCACATCATGGATAGTCCACCTTTACAGCTGTCCCCTGACACTCATCTGTGATCGCACAACTGGGGAGCAGACAGGAAGGCTGCTGTATCCCTGGCTGCGGAGTCCCCCTGCCAGTTCTGCATAGCACTGGCCCAGCCCAGCTCTCATATTCAGAGAGCCCACCAGGTTTGCACTGACCTCAGGTCCTGGGGATGCTGGATTCACTTAAGTCTGTGCTCGGCTTGCTTGCCGCATCCTCTTCACTGCTCAATGAAGGGTGTGGGGGTAACTACCATCCCTGTCTTCCTCCAGTCTGGGTGGCTGTTCCAGCGCATGGACTGGGCTAGTGTGCCTGAGCCTTGTGTGGCTGATGCTACAGCTGCTTTCCCATGCTCCCCATTCACACTGGCTGACATGCTGCTTTCCAGAAACCTGCATGTGTGGCTTGGAATTGGCTTTTAAGTTTCCCCAAGTTTTACTGTGGGGCCAGTGTCTTGGGGAGCCAGCTTCCCATATGGGTGCTGCATCTTATGGCCCAAGAGTCTGGGTTCCTGCACCCACATGAGAGACCTGGAAGCAGCTCCTGGCTGTGGCCTGGCTGCTATCTGGGGAGTGAACCAGATGGAAGATCTCTGTCTCTTCCTTTTTCTGTAACTGCCTTTCAAATAAATATTTTCACTCTGAAAATATGGAATGCACACAAATAGCATAAACACCCAAACCCATGCTGTTCCCGACCAGGTGGGCTATGAGGGCGTGCCACGCTTGCCATGGTGCGCACTTCTGAGGACAAGCAGAGGCCAGCACTGTTCTCAGTGTGCTGCTGCTTGAGCCCCAAATGCGGCCATGACCTGGTTGGCTGGAACTGCCTGCTCCTCTGTCCTGAGCAGGAATCCTGCCCTCCTTTCTGACTCATCCGTACTGGGCCCTCACACGGATGAAATTTGCCACCTTATTTGGGCTGAGACACAAACTGCTGTTTGCCTGGCCCTGGCATTCCCGCTGCTGGCAGCTGGGCCTCCCAGAGACTCAGAGAAGGACCGGCTCACCCTACTCTAAGGGGACCACAGCCAACAGGACATATCACCAAAGTGCTGTCCGCCCGAATGCCCCAGGAGTGATGCAGTGGGGTCTCTGAGAGTCCCACAAACTCAGTCCTGTGCAGGGAGAAATATGATGAGGCCCACATAGCAGTCTTCCCACTCGCCCATCAAGAAAGGGCTGTGCCCAAATCACAATCAGATTAATGAGATGGGGAGCAGACCTCCTCTGAAATAGCTCAACAAAGCCGTTCATCTCTCAATAAGTGTGCTGGGATGGGAAGGGACAAGCTGCTGGTTGCTGGGAGGCAGCCTTCCTGGTTGACCAGATGCACAGCTGCCAGGCTTGCCTGGGATGGCCTCCCTGGAGGATCTTGCTGGTGGGCACCAGAAGGAGCCATCATGACATCACCTGGCCAGGGGCCGCTCCCAGATTTCCCAGGTGTCACTGGCAGAGGGTTATGCTCAAGCCAGGGCCCTGCTGCCACACCAGAAGCCTTGTTGTGCAGTGAACTTTGGAACTCACCAGTACGCTCCAGTTTCGCAGAACAGCTGGAGCACAGGAGCCACCATGGAAGATTGCATTAATACCCACAAGACAGATTGCAGCCGCCATCACACACCTGGGAACTAGAGTGGAGGGAGAGAGCGCCTGTTAGTGTGGTAGCCTCCACAGCAGAACACTCTGGACACAGAGCTGACACAGCCAGAGCTGAAGGGATCCAGGGCCTCTGCCATTGAGGCCCAGCTTTCGCTGCCTGGGATGGTGTTTGGCACAGGAGTTCAGCTGCTGCTTGGGAAGCTGGCCTTATGGTGCAACGAGGCAAGCCACAAGTTAGGACGCTTGGAATACCTGTCGTCAGATCTCTTACTTCTCACTTAGCTCCCTGCTAATGTGCTTTGGGAAACAGAATGACAGCTCCAGAGCCTGGGCCCCTGCCAGCCACACGGGAGACCCTGACAAATTTCCGAGGTATTGGTTGCAGGCTACCCCAGACCTGGCTGCCACAGGCATTTGGGGGAGTGAATCAGTGAATCTTTCTCCCTGTTGCTCTACCTTTCAAGGACATAAAAATAAATAACACAGCTTGGGATGCCCACAGCCCTTATTGCAGTGCCTGGGACTGAGTCAGTTCTACTTCTGATCCAGCTTGTTAGTTTTTTATCTATTAATTCGAAAGGCAGAAATGGGGAGAGACAAAGACCTTCCATTTGCTGAAATGGCCACAGTGACCAGAGGTGGGCTGGTCCAAAGCCAGGAGTCAGGAACTGCACCCACAGGGGTACAAGGGTGCAGGGGCCCATGGATTTGGGCCATGTGCTGCTGCTTTCCCAGGCGCATTAGCAGTGCTGGATTCAAAGTGGAGCAGCCAGGACCGCTGCCCATATAGGATGCTGGCACCACAGGGTTTACCAGCTATTGACCCAGTTTCTTGCTAATGTACACCTTGAGTGAAGTTCCTCGCTCCTGGCTTTAGTTTATCCCAACAATTTGAAACAAACTCGAGGATGTAAGATTCTATCTGCCTTTCAAATAAGTAACAATACTAAAACAAAACCAAAGACACTTTTTAAAAAAGGAAAACAATTACTTAAGAAGGAATGACCTTGTATTAGGAACTAGGAGTGGAACTGAGGACTGAGTGGAGTGAGCAGAGGGTGACTCTGAGAGCTGGATGGGAGGCTGGACCCAGACACAGGCAGCGGTCATGCTCCCAGGCTGCCTGGCCCACCGTACAGGTGCTCACACCCTGCAGCCCCATGACTCTCCAGAAGCCCCCCCGAGGAAGGCACAGGAGCCTTCTCCATCCCCCAGTAACAGTATGGGGTCCCAGTGCACACAAGTAGCCACCGTTGGCCACACGGGACCGTGTGCTGCCGCATGCACCAATGACCGGAGCTTGCTGTAAGCTGTTCCTGGAGAACAAAACCCCTGCGGCATAACATGTGTGAGCATAGCCGAGAGACTCCCTGGGGTCTGAGCACGTGGAAAGACTGGAGGTGCGGGGACCAGCGAGGCGTCCATTTTTCATATTCCCCCTGCAGGCACGGACGCCTCCCAGGACAGCAGCAGTCGTCATGGACGCTGGGCCCTGCTCCGAGCTGCTGTCCCTCCAGCATCCACTGTGGCTGCACAGCCTCTGCTCCTCCACCTCCACCCCACTCACCCCAGCCCTGCAGGCACAGAGGCATCAGCCCCAGACCCTCCCGGTGAGCCTGTATGCCTTCCCAGCATGCCCCTCTAAACAAACAAAACAGCTTTACCCAAAACAAGGATTGATGTGGTTTGCAATACAGGTGACACTGCCCCCACCCCCCATCCTTGCAGGTGCCTTATTGTGGCTCCCTGATCTACTGATGCTAATTACTGTTACCAGCTCCACTGTGTTTCTGTCCTGAGAGGCTGACCTTCACAGAGCAAATGGGAGCAGCAAGTCCCTTGTGACTTGCCCTGGTCTCTGGGCACAGTTCAGCATGACAACACAATACTTGGGCCTCCAGGAGAAGGCAGAGATGATGGCAGGAGCCACAGCAGCCATCTGGGATGACATGAAGACCCTGAGCTCTTCCATCCTTTGCAGTCCCCTTTTAGGACAAGTCTGCTGCAGGGACCCTGAAACTCACAGCCAAAGAATGGCAAGGCTGTTGCCCTCCAGGCAAAAAACAGGGAACCAACAGCTCTAGACACTTCAGTGTTGCCACTCACCCCACCCTTCTAAGTCTGAGTCTGTAAGGACATGTGGTCACAATCCATGGCCAAGGAAATGTTACGAGTTCTTCAAGAACAGCCCTCCTGCACCCACCAACTCTAAAATTCTTCCCTTTGCAAAAAAAGCTGGTTGTGTGTGTGTGTGTGTGTGTGTGTGTGTGTGTGTGTGTGTGTGTACAGCACAGTGCAGGCCAATCCTCTACCCTGGGGAGTCAGCATCCCATATGGGCACCAGTTTGTGTTTTGGCTGCTCTGCTTCTGATCTGGGTCTCAGGCACAGCCTGGAAAGCAGAGGAATATGGCCGAAGTCCTTGGGATCCTGCATCCAAAAGCAGCTCCTGGTTCTTGGCGTCACATCCCAGGGTCCTGCCCCTGCCCACTGTGGCCATTTGGGGGACTGAATCAGCAGATGGAAGAACTCTTTGTTTTTCCTTCTCTGTCACTCTGCCTTTCATATAAAAATCAGCAAAAAAAATTTTTTTTAAGGTATATTTGTTATTGGAAAGGTATTAACTTATTAGAAAAATATACGGAGAGGAGGATGTTCCATCCGATGATTCACTCCCCAAGTGGCCGTAATGGCCAGAGCTGAGCTGAGTTGAAGCCAGGGGCCAGGAGCTTCTTCCAGGTCTCCCATGCAGGTGCAGGTCCCAAGGCTTTGGGCCATGCTCCACTGCTTTCCCAGGCCACAAGCAGGGAGCTGGATGGGAAGTGGAGCTGCCAGGATTAGAACCGGCACCCATATGGGATCCTGGTGTGTGCAAGTCAAGGACTTTAGCTGCTAGGCTACCGTGCCAGGCTCCAAAATAAGTAAATCTTAAAAAATATATAAAGACCTAAAGAAACTTTGAATAATGGTCTCTAAAGCGTAAGGAGCTAGTTTGAGTGTCTGGTTCACTCACTGCCTTCTCTTTGGCACTAGGCCATCAATTCTGATCCCTGTGAGGCGGGGCGCATGGGAGCAGGCCCGGATGGCACTCTGCTCTGGTCACTGCCTCCTGCACAGGCGTGGCCGCTGCTCTTGCTCTGCGCCTGGCCAGGACATCTCTCCAGGCAGAGAGAAAACAAGTGGGGCAAAGAGAGGGGTGAAGACCGGGGAGAGGAAGAGGTGGAGAGCCACGAGTGCCATGGTGGTAGGGGCCTCTCCAGGCCTTTAGGACAGACTGGCTTTGGGCGCACAAGTCCATTAGCTCATTGGCACCACTATGTCCAATGCAAATTTACATTTCCCCAGATTATGTCACCTGTTAGCTAGCTGTCCTGGAAAGGACTTGATCCAAGAGACTAGCAGGCTGGAGCCACACTTAGCTGGCTCAGTTCAAGACAGGCTGAGAAGCTACCCCCTGCTCCTCCCGACCACACCCCGGTGTGGGAGGAGTCTGTCCCCGGTCCTGTGTGGCTCAAAGAAGTGCATCACCAGCAGGTCACAGGACACAGTTTGGGGCAGGCGCTTTTAAGGGTGAGGCGGCTGCCAGCCCTGCATGTCTGGCTGATAGGCAGCCCACGAGGAGACACTGGCAGCTAGACTGACAGGAGGAGGCCTGTGGCTCTGAATAGAGCCTCCACAGCTACTTCAAGATGGCCACCTTTCCTTGGGCCCTGCCACCCTCTGGCAACCTCTAGGCCAACGTGAAGGGTCCCCCACCTCTGCAGCTTCCCTGGCACCCTGCACTGCAGTGGCCTTGACTGCCAGGTCCACAGCACGAGCCACCAGGGCCACATGGACTTCACAGCTCAGGGTGCTCTCAGGGCAGCCACCTCTTGCTCAGCACCATCCTCCCACCCTTCGCAGCCTCTGTGGACCCAGGCTGGATGTCATAGGGCTACACAATCAGGGGAGGGAAGGCAGGGCTGGGCCTGACCTTGGCAATGATGGAATCGAAGCATGGATCAGCTTCCACATTGGCGGTCACCAGGAGGAAATGGCCCCGGAGCAGGACCCGGCAGAGCCTTGACAACACCCCAAATCCTACAGATGGTATCCCAGGGCAGGTTGAATTCCCTCTCTGAGAAAGCAAACTTTTGCATTTTACACAATGGTAAATCGTGAAAACACTCTTGTGGATGGCTGGCTAAGTATCCATTCTAAAGACTCTTAAAGTATGACTGCCAGGGCCCCACACCATGGCCCAGTGGCTAAACTCCTCACCTTAAACGTGCCGGGATCCCATATGGCACCAGTTCTAATCACAGTGGCTCCACTTCCCATCCAGCTTGTGGCCTGGGAAAGCAGTGGAAGACAGCCAAAAGCCTTGGGATCTTGCACCCACATGGGAGACCTGGAAGAAACTCCAGGCTCCTGGCTTCGGATTGGTGTAGCTCCAGCCATGGCAGCCACTTGGGGAGTGACTCAATGGATGAAAGATCTTCCTCTGTCTCTCCTCCTCTTTGTATAACTGGCTTTGCAATAAAAATAAATCTTAAAAAAAAAATACGACTGCTATTGGCTGATGCTGGTGCTTCATTCCAAAGGATACCTGCAGATACACCTCACAGTAAGGAACAAACTCAAGTAGCTCTAAAGAAAGAACCTGCCACACTGGCCATAATAACCACTTGTTTCCATTGTGGCTAAAAGTGTAGGACACAGCTTCTGAATGCATGCTTCATGTCTTCTAAGACTTTGGGAAAACAACAGATTCTTCAGTCCCAGACACCTGTAAGGAACTCCACGTAACACAGCTTCCCGCTTGGGAGCATTTGTGACATGTGTGGCACAATGAATGGGGAATCTTGCAGTAACTAGGGCCGTGACCCTGTGGACTCTGCCTGCAGTTATCCAAAGCCCTACCCTGAGGCAAGCCGAGTCTGGGGTCAGGGGGTACCAGACACAATTCTAATTGCTAGAAGTTGATGACTGATGTCAGAAAGTGCACAGCATGTCAGCCTTCAACCTCTTAGTGCCACCAGAGCCAGAATTCCCCCCAGCCGGCTTCTCAGGCTGCCAGATGGGCTAATGCAGCTGCTGCTGTGCAACCCTCCCCACTTTAAAGACTTCTTTATTTGAAAGGCAGAGTTACACGGTGAGATCTTCCAACCATTGGTCCACGCCCTACATGACAGCAAGAGCCAGGATTGTGCCAGACTGAAGCCAGGCACCCAAGGATGAGAATCACCCTCTGCTGCTCTGCCAGGCACAGAGGGGGGAGAGGGCTTGGAAGTGGGCACTGTTTTGAGTCCAGGATGCTCCACTTCTGCCCCCTGCACGCACATGGGAGACCTGCATGAAGCGCCTGCCTTCGGCCTGGCTCCACCCTGGCCACCGTAGCCATTTGGAGAGTGAACAAGCAGGTTTTCTGGAAGACCTCTATCTCTGCCTTTAAGATAATCTTTAAATTTTTTAACTTTGGGTGGCCCTTGTCCCCAGTTCATACACCAGATTGAGTTTAGAATAACAGTATTTTGTTCTTAATAGAATGTGCTTCCCATATATATGGGGGGAAAAAGGCTCTGTGAGGCAAAATGAGGCCTAAAGTGGTTCACAGATACGAATTTAGGAGACTGTCCCTTCAAGGGTAGGCTGCTAGAAGCAATGCACTACCTTCACTATAAAAAAAAAAATCAGAATTAGATGTGTGTGCATGCAAGGGATGTTAATCTAACACACCTCTAAGACCCACAACAGAAACTACCAGTATGTGGAAGATCTCTCTTATGCTATGTAAAGCTTGAGGAAGGTTTTAGTTTAATGTTGGCAGCAGGTAAACCACAAAGTCAGAAAAAAGTCTGACCTCTTCTGGAAACCAGCATGCTTCCAATAGCATCCACAGCTCCCTGGAGCCCCAGTTTGCGATGCAGAGGCACACCACGGCCATGGGGGAATTCCTCTGAGCTCTGCCAAGGCCAGCAGTCAGCGAGGAGCACTAAACGTGGCAGTACAAGGGAGGAGCGCAGGTGCAAGCAGGTGCCCTGCCCCTTCCCGGTTGAGACCAGTTACTCACACAGTATTCAGCAGAACTGACGGGACTTCCAGCCCTGAGAAGTAGCCTCGGAGGGAGGGAGCCAGCGCATCTGCAAAGACAGGTGGGCAGAAGCTGTGAGCCAGGAGCCTTACAACAGCTTTCTCCGAGGGCCCAGGGAACAACATTAAGGCCACCTCCTGAGAGCTCCCACACACCCAGATGAATAGAGGAGAGCCTCTTTGCAAGGCCCATGGGGGTCAGGCCACTTGATGTGGTGGCCCAGTGGATTCCCTTCTCCAAACTCACCTTGGGAGAGGCTGCCTGCTGGTTTTCAGAGCAGGGTGTGGATACATGTGCCTTCTTTGCAGCACTCCTGGCCCTTTGCCCACTGCACCCTGGCCAAGACTTCTGCCACTGCCACTCACCTTTTAGAAAAAGGGTGTGGCTTCTCAGCATTGAGAGCCCTTGGCTCACTGCATTGAGCAAAGAGACCTGCAACCTGCATCTCTCCTAGATTTGCACAGTGGGAGGCCTGCCCCCAATACAAGCATGTTGGTGAGGGACAGAATGCACCTGCCAATAGTGGGGAGTGGTGGCTTGACCTTCAGACTAAGCTGAGACACCCATGTTCCACTGCTCCTCTTTCACTGGGCGGATACTCCTACCTGCACAAGGATGAGCAGCCCAAGAGCAGAGAGCTAGCTACACATTAGTGGGGCAGTGGGCACAGGGGAGGGCTGCAGGGCCCCCAGGCACCAGGATGTATGTGGAGGAGTCATCCCCTCCCCCAAAGTTGCCGTGGACAATGTGGAGAGGAGGTCCATGAGACCACTCGGAGCCCAAGGATTTGCAAGGATACATGGAAAGGCTCAGAGCCCACCTTCTATTTTCCAAGTAGGCAAATGGGCTGCCATCTGGGTATTCTAGAGCCCAGTGGGCCAAGCCTGGGAAAGAGGCTAGGACCAAGCTCTGTGAGGTGCTCTGCCTTGACCAGGAGAGCTGGCATGTCCAGAGAATGGGCCCTTGGGAAAGCCCCCATGGCTTGCCTGGTCTTTAGCACTGGTCCACACAAGTCCTTGCCATTTCTTACCACCCTTTGGGCCTCTGCAGCAAATGCAGTGCAGGGTGGACATGTGGCCCGCGTTTGGGAAATGAGACTTAAAAAGACCAAGGACTTCAGTTGAGCTTCTGTCTCCACCAGAAATCCACCGGAGGCCTTTGGTGTACCATGTCTCCTCCAGGAACCACGTCAGCTGCCACGATGGCCTGTGGGGTTTTCCCTACTCATGGGAGTTGGGAAGTCAGAAATGCACAGTCCTCTGGGAACTGAGGGACTGGGTGGTGCACATGACCAAGTGAACAACAGAGAGGAGAGCTGTGGGGTTCAGGGGGGAGTGGAGAAGGGAGATACAGGAAGAACAAAACATGTACCTACCCACGGCTACGGCTTTGTGCATCTGATCCACTTGCTCACTAAGCACAGAGCGGGGTTGGAGCTGCCTTCCTGAGACAGGTGGTAAAGGATGGGCCAGGGGCACAGAGCTCCTGGGGCTGGAGAGGGGCTGAGCACCTAAACACACAGCAGCAGGGGACAAGGGGGAATGGGGCTGTGTGCACCAGGGTCAGGGTGGAGCGCAGGTGTGGCAGTGGGTGGGGCCCCGGGGCGCTGAGCGCCGGCCAGGCCAAGCCACGATGGTGTGGAGAGGAGATACAAGAGGAGGGTGGCCTAATGGAAAGGTGAACTGAGGGGTGGGGGAGCTGGCCAGCTCCCTAGCCACGCCTAGGCCACCTGCTGGCAGGTACCTAGAGCCCAGGCAGCCCAGATAATTCACAAACATATCACACCAGTGTGCCTGGCAGCTGGGTGTCGGCAGCCCCCAGGGCTCCCTTGCCTTCCAGCCCCAGCAGGAGGGCCCTGGCCATGCCTCTTACCAGGCAGCTGGCCCAAGGCAAGGGGCCACTCTGTGCTAAGCTGCTCGGCACTGTAGAGGAGAGGACTGCTCTCTTGATTGCTTTGGACTGCTTAAACCACAGGAACCCAGAGGTCCGTCTGTGGCCATGGCACTCAGCAGGAGTTACGTCTACTTATTTGAACCATGTTAGTCAAGGCTGGCCTTTAAGGCAACAGTCCTCAACATTTCCTTATCCCGTCTGTAGAAAAACACCCAGTGTGCCATGTCTCCTCATACACACACATACACAGACACACACATGCATGCACACACCAACATCTCATACAATGCCAGGGGCTTCCCTTTTACTGTGGTTCATTCATGGTGTGGAAGGCCAGGATTTGGTGTGCCTAAGAGGCTGAGGCATGCCAAGGGGACACCCAGATTCCTGGCTCAGCTCATGATGGATCAGAACTGGGAGACAGCCACAGTGGGCTGGGGCCTGCATGGGTACTTTCTAGGGAGCAGTTGTGTGCGCCCAAATTCAGGTTGATCTCGGCACCAGGCTCTAGAACTAGCCCATTCCTCTGGAACACAAGCAATAACCACTTGAACCACAGGCATTTTGTTTGAGTGACAGCAACACCGTCTCACAAGAAATGAATGAATCCGTTTTTAAGGCACAGAAGATTCTTAAGTAGGTTTCTACCACTATGGCCAGAAGGGAGCCCTGAGTCCTCCTGACCCTTGGAGGGACTCATACGAGTTTGTATCAACTCTGCTCCCTCCTTCACACCTGACCCTGCGTGGCACATGCTGCTCTGAACAACAGCCCCCTCCGCTCCCCATGTTTGATAAAGCAGACACCAAGCACCAGGAGCTTGCTGCCCAGCTCAGCCATCCCCAGATTTCTCTATCTCCCAAGCTGGCACACTCAGGGCATGGAATACAACTAGCAGCCCTTGCTGTTAGCTTGATAACCAGGACTCATTGCTCAGGGCAACAAAATGAGCCAGTATTATCTAGGCCAAAATGTCAAGACAATGAAGGTGACCTGGACCACTTCAATCACACCAACCCCTGGATGAGGTGAGCAGGGACATCCTGGCTGGAACAAGGCTGTGCGCTCCACAGGGGTGTGGTACTTGTTAGAGCTCCCCTTTGGGGTCTGGGCAGAGACAAAGGCCACGTGCTGTGTCCTGGAAGTGATTCTGTCTCTGGGCCATCAGTCTTCTCTTCTGCATGGTCCTGGGCACTGCGCAGCTCCTGGCTCCCATGCAGGCATGTGGAATGTGCCGGAGACGGCCCCAGAACTCTTCAACACACACTTGGGTCAGGGGTGGGGGATGCGGCCAAGCGTGTGTAACACCCTATGTCAGATGGAGTCCATGGTGACCGTTCACCATCCATATTTAATTCTGCCAGTCTGTTAATTTTTAACCATGTTTGCTATCAAGGACCATTAGAGGTCTCCAGGAGCTGGGATCAGTGAAGCGAGCAGAACTTTGTGGCATAGTGTGGGAGGCTGCAAGTCGGGGCGACCCACTTTCCTGACGAGTCACTGGGTGCTGGCTGGCCCCATCAGCAGCACAGCTTCTGAATAAAACATCATCTCGCAGCAGAGCTGACGTCCCCTTTTTCTCCCTGTCACAATGGGTTTTCTTCAAAGGAAAGTAAGTTCACTTTCTCCTCTTAGGAAGGCTGTGCTTTCTAATTCCAAAGTTTCTTTGCAGTCCAGGTACTATTTCCAAAGCTGTCAGGCTTCATGGATTTGAGGGTGCCACCTGTACCAGGTTCTGATTGTTGATGAGGTTGGGGAGGAGGGACAAAAGACACAACGATCTTAGGGTTCTGACCTCATCCAAGGGGGTGCACACTGCCTTCAGGTGAAAAGACTGCCAACACACCCTACCCTGTAGCAGACTCCAAAGCTACACTGCTCACCTGACCCCAGACCCGGCTACTGCGATCAACAGGGAAATCAGTCCTTGGGATTGGGCACCAGCCAGGGCCGTATCCCAGGTCACTGACCTAGCCTTCTAAAGGGCACCTGCTATGCTGTTGTGCTTCAACAGCAGTAGCATCAACTGTCCTTTCCTACTGTGACTGAACCATTTGAGGCGCTTTTTGGGATGCAAAGGTGTTGAGGCTCCTCCTGAGGGGCTCCCTGGATTTTCACAGGCCACCAGGAGCATGAGGGGCAGGGTTTAGGGGTAGAGGTGAATGAAAGAGGCAGTTGGTCAACCTGAGGGGAACCTCCAGGTCTTGGTCCAGACTGCAGAGAGGACACTCTCCAAGGGCAATTGGAACCCACTTCTGCGAAGGAGATGGGGTGGAATCCTAGCAGGGGAGGGCGTTTGTGGGAAGGAAGCAACCAAACAAGCATGGGAAAATGGAGGGAGGAGTGGGTTGGGTGACTGGGGTTTCAGTAGGTTCCCACTCCTAACGCACTTCCACATAGCCAGGGGTTTGACTGGCTCCAGCTGCTGGTGGGAGATCTCCCCCAGGGTACAAATCCTCACAGAAACAACATTGTGGGTGCAAGCTGCAGAGGCCACTAGCTAGAGGTCAGGTTCGTCCCTCACTCCTTTCCAGGCCTTGCCCTTCACCCTGGCTTCCAAACTGTCTCCCCTGGCTGCCCACTACTGCCATCCCCTAGCAGTAACAACTCCCTTAGCAGTGACAACTCTGGGCAGACAGCAGGCACATAGCCCACATAAGCCCCCTATTGGGAGTCAACTTGTGCTGGACACCCTGTTCTTCCAGGGCCACCACCTCCTTCCTGGAAACCCACACACTCCCCAAAAGGCCCTTTGGAAGAGCTGCTTCCTCTCTGTTCCATTTAAATGTTTACTGAGCACCCTTTGCTGAATGGCAGATGCTTTGAAGCCTTCTGCATGAGGAATTATTGACCCCATTTTTCTTAAGCCCACAGGGCTTTCAGAACTTTCTTGGCCCCAGGCTGCACAGCTGGTACACGGCAGAGTCCATCCTGCATGCCTGGTCCACAACTTCCTCCGCCTCATGGCTGGCTCTGGCTTCAGAGACAAGCAGCTCCTCCCAGTGCTAGTGGAAAGGTCCCTGCAGCCACCCACCTGCCCCAGCCTCCTGCAAGAGCCACCATCAAGAAGCTTCAAGAAAGGGCAACCAGAAGCAAGGCCAGACCAGGGATGGCACTTCCAGGATCCCACCCTAGGAGCTGCGGGAATGGAAGGCAAGATCAAGGTCATGGGCTTAGTTCATCCACAGCCGGAAATGATGTCGAGCCCTCCTTTTGCAACTGGGGCTCCCACTTTGTCACAGGCCAGCCCTGGGAGACCCAGGTCACAGGACCAGGAAGCCAGGGTGACTGTGAACTCTGCCCACCCCGCTGAGGTGCCTGAGCCACTGCCTGAGGGAGGGAGCCCACCAGCTACTTCACGGTCACTATGACAAGGGCCAACCAAACAGTACATTCCACTGTGGTGAGGCAGGAGGCCTTGGCAGACTCAGAATACATGGCCCATACCACGCCATAGCAGAAACCCTCAAGTCTTCTTCGGTCTCTACATTCCTTGTAGGGCACACTCTGAGATCCGAAACGTTAATGCAGTTTGGATTTTAAACAATGTGGAGGTGTCCAGTTATCGGGGAAGACAGCCTAGCGTGCACAAACATGCCCACCGTTGGCCGAGGCCTCCTTTCCCGCAGTCCGGCTCTGCACTGGTATTGGAGCTTGTCTTCTGCATGCTTGCTTTTCCCACGTGATGCCGCGGCACAGGGGACGTGTCTCATGTGAGGCCCTCAGAAGAACTGCCGTCACTCAGGGCCACCAAGGCTGCTGGAGAAGACACAGGAGCAAGACCTTGGCTCTCGGACGTCCTCCCACTTACCTGCCCTGGGGGGCTTCGACTCTAGACAGGTGGTATCCTTCTGGAGGTGTGGCCAGTGTGCTCTTCCTCATGTCTTCCTCCACCCCAGAATGTGAGCCCAGACAACATGTGAGGAAGGGGGATGGTAGGAACCACGCTGTAACAGCGGCCCGAGCAGCTGGGCATGCAACCCAGAGTGACTTGCTCCTTCCGTTCTGTCTGTTCCAGACCTGGGTGACTTTGGTGGCTCCTGAAAACTCTGAATGGCCTGGAAATCGGCCTTGCGTCACACACGGGGGCTCTTTCTGAACGAAAAGCTGGTGCTGGGGCTGAAGTTCCTGCTACAGCAGTCCAGTGCTTTGCCACAAGTGGAACTTGTGCAGCTGGGAAATGGGGGAGGGCCCCCCAGTTCCTGAGTGAAGCTGGGACCCAACTATCTACAGCTGCAGCCTGACTTCCTGCCTCCCAGGGTTTCCCCCTTCCATGGGTTGCAGGTGACCACTGCAGGGAACTCCACTCCTGGTCAATGTTGGTGACCCACAGGGGGCTGCAGGCAGAATCTTCCAGTGGCTCGGGAGTTCAAGGTGACTCTCACAGCAGCAGCAGGCCTCCGCCCTGCTGGTGGGCCTCCCCAAATCTCCGCCACAAACGAACACGTTCCATGCAACACCAGGAAAACAAACGCTGCAGTCGGCTTCAGATAGTTTTCACTCTGAGTACAACTTTTATTGAAATCTCTCAAAGGTGGCCAAGAAAGTTTTTTTTTTCTTCGCAAAGTATTTTTTTTTTGAAGGGATGGGGTGGGGTGGTTGGGGAGATGCCATGGGGTGGGGGGATCACTAACAGATTCAACATGGGAGCTCCCTCTGCTGGTCTGCGGTGGGCTGGTATGTTACAAACACATTCCCAGAGACAAATCTAATTTGCTGGAGAAGTGGACAAAACACAGGAGTGTTGGGCTTTGCCTCAGGAGAGAAACACTAGAAGAAAAAAAAAATCCAGGTCTCAAAACAGAGCACAATATTGCCGAGAAAAGCAAGAAATCATTTCAAAGCGTCTCCAAAAGACATAGGATTTCCAAAACATAAAAACCACCAACGAGCCACTACTGGGGGGGCAGCATTCTTCCTCTGGGGAGGGGGGGGTTCCCCACTTTGCTCTACTTGAAAGTTGATTTCCTTAGCCTTCCTGGTGATGAGTCCCTTGGCATGGCCTCCAAGTCTCTTCTGACAGGAGAGGTCCAAGGAGCCTGTCCAGCATCCCATCAAAGAATTAATATTTTGGTGAGCCAGCACCTCTGAATGGCAGGAGCCAGGCCTGGGAGTCAGGTGACCTGGTTCTAGTCACCGTAGAGCCACAAGCAGGTTTTGGAGGAGGAATCACCCCTTCCGTCTTCTCGAGTATGTTTCCTGCCCTGCAATGCCTCTCTGCTGGTTCACTCTAAGATTTGCACAGAACGGGCAACATCAAAGTTGAAATAATTGTGTGGCCTTGAGCACATGGTCAGGGGGACTGCTGGTACCAGACGAGAGTTCCACCAAATCTAGAGCTGACGTGGCAAAGCCAAGCAGGTGCCAGGTTGGGAAAGTCTCCAGGTCAAAGAAGAACTCCCAGAGCGGGTCGCTGCCAGGGCAGTGGATCACATCAACCGGCTGTGGACACCCCATGCATGGCCCTCACTCTCTCTAGCTCTTAAGATGGTGCAGGTACGGGGGTTCTGATCTCGCCACAGCAGCCGTTCAATCACTACATGGAAGAAGCAAGGGCAGCTGATGTGGTTACCATGGCCCTCTTTCCCAGGATTCTGGTTGGTGTCCACTCTGGTTTAGCCAGGGTAATGCTCTGTCCTAGTTAACCATGGATATCCGTGAGACTTGGGCAGCCTGTACCATTTAGAGTGTTTAACAACACAGGCCTCAACTGCCAACGGATCTAAGCGTGGGCAGCGTATTGAGATCTCCTATGGAAAAGGCAGAGGGATGCACGCAGAAGGGGGCTCTTGTGGTTTCCCCATGTCACCCGCAGCACATTGCAAACGCAGTGGGGACCCAGCAGGAGACAGACACCCCTATATGACAATGTTAGCTCCCTGTCCCTCCCGCATCGCCTGCCCATTGTTATCCAGGATGCCCATGAATTCAAGCGGTGGGGGGAAGGAAAATCAGAAGGTCCAGTGAACGTCGTCCTGCACCAAGCACCCTCACCACCACTACCTATGTTGAGTTCGCCACTTGGCCACTTTCTGTCTCCTAGGGCCAGGGGAGTATTGAAGGGTTGCACCAGCTCTGCCCAGTCCTCCTTCCCCCTGCCCGCAGCTGGGGGCTGCTTCTAGCTGCCTTCATCAACATGGTGAGCATCAAGTTGGAAGGAAGAGTTTTCTAGAAAGCTGTTTATTCCATCCAGCCTTACAAATACATACTAAGAAAAACCAACAAAGCATCCCCCCAGCCCTCATCCCGCCACCTGCCTAGCTCAACAATGGATCATTCACACAGGCAGTTAGGACCAAGGAAACATCTTATACCAGGCTGTGCATCTGCTCCTGAGCATCTCTCTCCGTGGGCCAAGGAACAAGTGGTTATTTGCAAAGGTGAACACTAACATGGATAGCCTACTCCGGCCCATGAAAAGTGGAGTTAGGAGAAACCCTGACCCCAAGGGGGAGAGGAAGTGTCCACCAGTGGATGGTAATCTGTGCAGAGACCTGGGCGTTTGTTTACAAACCTCAGGCTATTCTTAACCCAGAAAGAGAGGACCCTGCCTTACCCTGTCATCATATTCTAGACAATGGGCTAAGTCTTTTTCGCCGGGGCTTCCTACAACTAGGCAGTGGACACCCTTGATCTTTCCTATAAAATACGGGTGACACAATTGCAGTACCCCCACCCTATGGAAGTACCCCATTTGGCCACACACATACACACACACACATCAATGCAGCAGCACACACAGGCACACACGACTCCGGCCACACGACCAGGCACGCATGGTGCCAACCCTCCCTGGCTGGCTGGCTGGCTGGCTGGTGAGGGCAATGCCACCCCCGCAGGACTCTTGTGTGTGTGCCATGGGGGTGAGATCATGAAGGCAGGGAGAGGTGCTTGTTTGGGGGCAGACATCAGGCAGTGGGTGATCATTGCTTTTACATGGTCCTCGACAGTCCTGGGCGGTAGTGTCAGCTTTGATGGAGAGAGGGGTCGTTAATCTCTCGAAGGTGGCTCTGTTAGCTGGAGGTGTTAGTGGTACGGTGTGCTCTGAGGGACTGGGTTGGAGCGGACTGGTGCCGGAGGGAGTGAAGTCGTGGCCGATGGGGATAAATTACCTGGGCATGCAGTGAAGCGGGATAGGTGAAAGCAGGAGGAGGAAGAGCAGGCGCTAACTCCGCTGGGTACAGAGGGTACGGGGCCCACACTTCAGGGCTACTGGGGTAAAGTGCAGGCACTGTGAGCTCATCTGCAAGAAAAGAATAAGGGGAGAGTTAGTGGGTACCACGCGGCTGGATTCCGATCAGAAAACACAACACCCCACAGTCCCCGGCACCAACTTATGACGTCAGCCACCATGCTCCTCTTGGGCTTCGACAACCTGTCGCCCCAGTACCCCCATCCACAACTCAAGGGGTATGGGATTGGAATACATAAACTTGGGGGGAGGGGGAAAAAGCAGCGGGCATCTTTCTGCTGCCCGTCCAGCCTGCTGGTGCCTTCCCAAAGGCAGTAGCAGTTTCCTGCACAAATCAAAACATGGCTCTCCCAGGAGGCAAGAGAGCGAGCATTTAGCAGGACGGCAGCTGCCCTGCTGGACTATTGGGCCAGCAGAATCCTCTGTCTGTTCTGTTGAATGGAGCTACTGGGGAGTGTTTCCTGCTTGGCTTTTAGGAGTCCAAGGCCAAAAACCCTGTGGCCACAGGTGTGTTTAGGGTGTGGAAAATTCAAAGAAGGGAAGGAGGACCCCTCCAGGATCAGTGTTCTAGTTTAGTAGTGTTTGGGGTGCTACTGACACAGACTGAATTTTCCAGGGAGCCACAATGCCGACCCCTGGAGCGCAACCTGCTCCTGCTGCTCCGGCTATGGTCAGGTCTAGCTGCAGCCACAGGGCACAAGGCCAGCATGGCCAGGAAAATCCGCCATAAGGAAGAGGAGGCAGCTTCTCCATGACAGTTGAAATGATACCAGTACAGAGCTATGAATGTGCATCGTGTGCAGTGGGCCATCTCAAGATGTGCTTTTACCACCTGTCAAAATCTGAAACTCAAGATGCCATCCGGGACTTCCAGGAGTCAGAAGGAGGTGACTCAAGCCAAGCCATTAATAACCCGCAGGCTCAGGACTTCCCAGAAGCCTTCAGTGCCCGTGACCCAGGGATGACAGGGCCACCCTGCTCTCCCCACCCTCACCATCCAACTAGCCACCCCAGGCCTGCGGTCGCCTTCAACTCAGGTTCTCTGCAGGGTTTTGTATAAGGGAAGGGGCTTGAGAGAGCAAGCTGCTATGTGGGGATCCCAGGATGGCGCCAAGCCTGTGGGCATGTGCCCCCCATCGATCTGTGTGTGGGTAGGGTGGCACGACCAGGTCGCAGGAGTGGTTACCAGGTCGGTGGAATGGATTGACAGCCAACAGGAATCAGGGGTGTCCACACCACCTACTTGAGGGTCTAGGCTGTAGCCCAGGGTTTAAGAGGTTGCAGGGTTGAGAGAATGATTCAGAACCGCCCTACCCCACTGTGTGTGTGTGTGCGCGCGCGCGCGCGCGCGTGTGTGTGTGTGTGTGTGTGTGTGCGTGTGTGTTTCCTGCTAGGATGAAATCATCCAATTCCCATTAGAGAAACTCGGTGGGAGCCCAGCTAGTGGAAACTTAACTGCTGCCAGAATCAGTGTCATGGATTTTAAGCAGACCCCCATTCTCAGGCATGGCAAGCTATTATTGTTGTTGTTGTTGTTATTTTAGCTACCAGACTATTTTAAGACATTCTGAGACCTTTTCCTACCCCCCGCCCGCCCTTTAAAAAGCAAGTCAAGAGAGTCTCAAACCCTCAGCGCACTCATCTCTTCTAGCCTGTGGCTGTTGGGTCCCTGCTGGGATGGACGGCACATGTCAATGACACACCTTCAGAGGGGACCCAAGTGACCTGTTGTCTAGCAGTGGTCTGCATACAAGGAAGTGGCTACTTGTAAGGGTTGCATCTGCCTCCCCTGTGGAGGCTTCCTTTAAGAATTCTTGTAAAACAAAAGGAGTCTGTCCATCAGGCTATCTGGCCCGAAAGACATCAATAACAGACAAAACTTAGAAGCAGGCTTTCATCTCAGCCTGAGGGGTGAACTCGATCACTTCTAGCCCTTCCCATACGTTTATCCTAAAGTAAGTATCCCATTAAGTTCGCGATGCTCAGACTAACACCTGCACAGAGCCCAGTCCAGCAGAAATGTGCTTCAGAACCTCCCAAACGCCAAGCTGCTGGAGTGAGAGCTGCTGAGTAACAAAACAGTAGGTAATAAAACAGGGGTCTCAAAGAGGTTAGGGTGAGAGTACAATTCAGAAACCCCTTGGCACAGCGTGTTTTTAAGTTATTTGTGTATTTGAGAGGAAGGGACGGGGGCAAAGGAAGGAGGCAAGACAGGGAGTACTTCCATTTAGCATTTTATTTCTCAAACACCCACAGTGGCCATGAGTGCTGGTCAGATGGAAACTAGTAGCAAGAGCCCAGTCCAGGTCTCCCGGGTGAGTGGTACCTTTTATCTCCTAGGCCATACGTGGGCAGGAAGCTGGAGCTGTTCTCCCCACTTCACCCAGAGGGGATGAACAGGTCGGGGCTGTTGGCGAGGCCGAGGCCTACGTATCAGTCGGTGGCTGAGAACTCTCCTAACACGGGCATACACACACACACACACTCTCTCTCTCTCACACTCTCTTTCTCAAATCTCTGTGGTCACTGGTGTGCACTTGAGATTAAGGAGGTACAGTGACCACAGCCGGACACTGCACACAAGACAGAAAGAATGGGCAGAGCGTAGAGGAAGGCTGAGGGAAGGGGGTGGGGGAGGGCTGCTGCCCAAGGCCCCTGGGGGAAGAATGGGAGTCCGGGAGAGAATTCTTTGGACAAAAGGGCTCTTGACCACCCAGAGTGAGGCAGGTCCCGGAGCAAGCAACACCATCAAAGGAGGCTCGGGCTTTTCTGTCTGGGCCTAATCCCACCCTCCAGAGGCTCGGTAAATCCCTTCCCACTGCACTGGGAGGGCTGCATCCTAGCTCCTTTTGCACCTTAGGAAGATAATTGTTGTCCAGGGCACCAATATACATCTGAATAGGGCTTTTTCTTGACAGCCAGAAGTGCTCAAATTGTGCTCTGCAAAAATAACCCAGGACTGAGAGCTCCCAGCCTCCACCCTCAGTTTCCAGCGTTCAGGGAGCTGGGCAGATGCACACCACAATAGAGGTGAAGACACAGAACTCCCAGCAACAAGCCTGGAAATGGAGTGACCAATGACCCATAAACTGAGGGCAGCTGAGAACAAAAGGATTCCAAGTGAAGTATCCACGTTGTCTCCTAGAACGCACAGGATGGAAATATTCCACAACAACCTCCGATGCCAGACATACTCCTAAGCCACATCTGTCCTCCTTGGCCCCAGTCAATGAGGTGGCCCTGTACCATGATGTCCTTCACACCCGCCCTTTCACTCTGGTCCTGCTCAGTCTATCCACTCCCTGGACCTTGGTCATCACTCCTGGATCACTGGAAAGGCCCCAAGAGTCCCCCGCGAGAACAGTATCGGAGCACAGCAAGTCACGCTGCTGCCTGTGACAGCGGCATCCCTCTTGGGCCCTGGTTTCAGCTTTTGCCCACCCTACTTCTGATCCAGCTTGGGTCCCCGGAAGGAGCTCCTGGCTCTGGCCTGGCCCAGCCCTGGTCCATGTGGTTATGTGGGTAATGAATTAGTGGATGGAAGACCTCTCTCTTTCTCCTTCTCTCCAACTCTGTTGTTTATGTCACCATAACACCCTCTGATTGCCTTCTGGATCCTGGAGTCTGCATGTCACACCTGTCAGCCGCATGGGGGCTGGCCCTTGGGCATCCCTGCAGCACCAACTCTACCCTTGCCTCCCTGGTGACCTGGGATCAGTCTCCGCTGTGGCTTGACCATACTTGCTCCTCTCCACCTCCAGGCATCCCCAGGGCCACACACTGCTCCCTCTGTTGCCCTGGACAAGGGTCTCCTTCCTCTCACCCTGACCCAGTACCTCAGGAGTCCTGTAGGGTCCTAGCTTCACCCCTTCCTTGTGTGTGTGTTTTTCTTCTCAAGATTTATTTCTTTTTATTGGAAAGGTATAGAGCGAAGAGGAGAGACAGAGAGGAAGGTCTTCTGTCAGCTGATTCACTCCCCAAGTGGCCACAATGGCTGGAGCTGCACCCATCCGAAGTGAGGAGCCAGGAGTTTCTTCCAGGTCTCCTGCACAGGTGCAGCATCCTAAGGCTTTGGGCCGTTCTCGACTGCTTTTCCAGGCCACAAGCAGGGAGCTGGATGGGAAGCAGGACCGCCGGGATTAAAACTGGTGTCCATATGGGATCCCAGCAGCTGCAAGGTAAGGACTTCAGCTGCCAGGCTACCGCGCTGGGCCTGTCACCTCTTCCTTTCAACACAGCCTTCCTTCTCTGTACACCACTGTATCGCACCTGCCCAATCACAAGAGTTCCTTCCCAGATTGCAAAAAAGAGCAGAGTGGGGTATCCAATTCCACCCTGCCTGTAGAGGAACAGCCACATTGTGAGTTAACTCTGCGAGGGAGGCAGGCAGAGGCATCCACAGTTAGCCTAGCACCTGAAGCTGACCCGGAGCGCAGGTCTGCCAGCTCAGAGCTGCTGCCACACAGCAAACACTTGTGCTTCCTTGGCTGGGAGCCTCACAGAACCCCTAGAACGCAGACAGTCTTAACCTCTAGCTTTATTACACCCTCAACTTTCTACCATAAACTCAGGAACAGCCTTCCAGGACAGCCTGTCGGGTGAATGAAGAATCCGTTTAGGGAAAAACAGCAGTTCTAACGCGAAACACCCAGACATAATGAAAAATTCCATTTTTTTTAACATAGAAAAAAAAAATCGACTTTGAAACAACAAAGAAATCTGTGATTCTATTAGCAGTCGACTCAAAAGAAAAGTGGCTGGGACAGAAGTGCTAAAGGCAGCTTCAGGGGCCCTGTGAAGGCTTCCCCTATTAGGATGCATTTTCCTGCAATGGGGGGTCAGGAGCATAAGCCAAACACACTCAGTGGGCTTACAATGGCTGGCATCCCACATCAGAGGGTCAAGTCCTCATTGTTTGGCTTCTGACCCAGTTCCCTGGTGATGTGACTGCCAAGGCGGCAGAGGAAGACCCAAGTAGTTGGGCTCCTTCTATCCACATGGAAGACCTGGATAAGTCCCCGGTTCCCAGCACTGGTCTGGTTCAACTCTGG